ACTTGCTGGAGGCGGCTTGTCAGGGTCACAGGGATGGATGGAGCCTGGGCCACCCCTCCCTGTGACACAGAGCCTCCTCCAGCTGCCCCTTCAGGTGACCCAGGTCACTTATCCAGTTGGAGAAAGGCCTCCCCCCTTCCCCCCACCGGTCCTTCTCCTATGCCCCTGACGCAGTGAGCTGGGAGGAACAGCAGGCTAGCGTCCTTGTGAGTCTCATGAGATCACTATTGTGAAGTGTTGCCTGGCACACAGTAGGTGCTTAATAAAATCTCAGCTATTGTTAGCCATCATTATCACCACTAAAAAAGCATGAGGAGCTTGGACACGAGTTGTCACAGAAGACAACAAAGAACAGCAAAACTGAATACAACTTCTGGGGGAAGGAGGTGATGAAACAGAGGATGTCCAAGCATTCCTGATGAAAAGCCCAGAGCTGCAAAGACACAGGAAGTGCAAACACAGGCATCAATAGAAACACAGAGAGTTAAGCATTAATTAGCAACCATAAGGAACTGCCTACATTCTGATATGGGGAGCCAACATATGTGGTCATCATCATCAGGAGAAAGTCAAGTGAGACAGGGCGCCTAGAAGCGTTTTGTTCTTCATGTTTCGATATTCTCAAAAGAAGAGTGGAAAGCAGAGGGAGAGGAATATATTGGGGAGGGGGAGTAGGACTGGAGAGGAAGGACAGAGCCTAGACATCATATTTCAAGAAACTATTGAGGAAAATTGCCCCCATATCTTAGATCTAAGTGCTCTCAATCACTACTGATTAGTGCAATTAGAGATTTATGAAACCACCTCACACCTATCAGAATGGCAAATGCTGGAGAATTTGTGGGAAAACTGGGACACTGATGCATTCACTGTTGGTGAAGTTGTGAGCTGATCCAACCATTCTGGAAAGAATTTGGAATTATGCCCAAAGGGCAACCAAACTGTGCCCACCCTTTGATCCAGCAATGCCTCTGCTAGGTCCTATCCCAAAGAGATCATAAAAAAAGGGAAAAGGACCCACATGTACAAGAATATTTACAGCAGCTTTTTTTGTGGTAGCCAAGAATTGGAAATGGAGGGGATGCCCATCCACTGAGGAACGGCTGAATAAGTTGGGCCATATGATTGTGATAGGATAGTACAGTACTATAAGAAATGATGAGGGGGTGGTTTAAAAAAAACAACATAGCAATGCCTGTATTGTGACTGACGCAAAGTGAGGTGAGAAGAAGCAGGAGAACACTGTGCATGGTAACAATAATGTTGCAATCATAATCAGCTGTGAAAGATTTGGCTACTCTAATCAATACAATGATCCAAGACAATTCCAAAGGACTATGATAAAAAAAATTCTGTCCACCTCCAGAGAGAGAAATGATGAATGCTGAGTGCAAATTGAATTTGCTCACTTTGTTTTTCTTGCTTTAAAAAAAAATATGGATAATATAGAAAAGTTTTGCATGATTTTACATGTAGAATTGACATCATATTGCTTGCCTTCTCAATGGGTGGGGGAGGGTGGGAGGGAGAGAGAATTTGGAACTCAAAATTTAAAAAGAAAAAAGTTAAATAATTTTTTTTAGAAAGCAAAAAAAAAATCAGTAACTCTGATCACCCCAATGACCAACCAAGCAGGATTTCAGAGGACCAATAATGAAATATGTTACTCACCTCCTGATAGAGAGGTAGAAGACTCAGGGCAGACTGAGACTTTTAAAATAAAAATGGCCAATGCAAGAATGTGTTTTGCCTAACTATACATACAGTTATTCCTTAATGTGTTAGGAAGAAAGGAAGGAAACAGAGAAAGGAAGAAAGAAAAGAAAAAAGAGAAGAAGGAAAGAAGAGAAAGAAAAAGAAAGGAAGGAAGGAAAGAAGAGAGAGAAGAAAAAGAAAGAGAGGAAACAAGTACTGCCTGCGTATCTTCTGGGTGTCAGACACTGCGCTAACAGCTTTACAACAATCCTGGGAAGTAGGTGTTAGAAACTGAGGTAAACCAATGAAATGACTTGCCCAGAGTTACACAGCTAGTTAATGTCCAAGGCTGAACTCGAACTCAGATCTTCCTGAACCTGATGGCCAGCACCACTCAGGTGTGCTGCATGATGAGGCTAGATCTCCCCTCACTGGCTTGTTCTCCCCACATCCAGTGTGCTCGTGACCCTCTGCTTCCCTTGCCGCTTTCCTCAGCAGAGCTCCTATCTCACCTTTCCTGTTCCCAAGAACACCAAGGGCACCCCTACTGAGAGCCCTTGTCTCCCCCACTCTCCACCTCAAAGCTCCCACACGAACCCCTTTGCCTAGCCTCTCCAGCAGCCTTCTGAAGGCTCCCACCTCCATGAAAGCCCTTGACACAGTGACCTCCTCTGTCCCCTCAGGGCTGACCCCACCCCTCACATTCAAACTCTCTCAATCTACTGCTCCTTGTCCACTTCCTATAAAGACATCCTGGTCTCCCAGTGACCATGCCATCCCAAAAGTGACCATCTTATCCCTCTCCTGCCTTTCACACCTGCTGCCTCCACTTCCCCAGCTCCTGCTCCCTTCTCAATCCCCGCCCCCTCCACAAGTCACCATAAACCCAACGGCTTTTTGGCTTCATCTCACTCGACCTCTCTGCAGCCTCTGACACTGCTGACCATCCTCCTTCCTGACATTCTCCCTGTCCTCCTCCTTCCTCTCTGACCACTCTCTCTAAGTCTCCTTGGCTGGGTCATGCCACTAACAGTAGGTGACCCTCCCAGCTCTGTCTTGGCCCCGCTCCGCTTCTCTCTCCATTGAGTCTATTCCTTGATGAAATCTTCTGAGGCTGTCTACGCTGGAGGGGCCTCCACTCTCTCACTCTCTTCTTAATCCCTTACAGTCCAGCTTCTGACTTTATCATTCCAACCAAACAGCTCTGTCCAAAGCTACTAATGATTTCTTTGTTGCCACATCCAGGGGTCTTTTCTCAATCCTCATGCCCCTTGGCCTCTCTGCAGCCTCTGACACTGCCGGTCAGCGGCTCCTCCTGAATTCTCTTTTCTCTCTAGATTTTTAGGACACCTCTGCTGCTTCTCCTCCTCCCTCTCTGACTGCTCCTCCTCTGTCTCCTAGGCTGGATCCTCATCAGGGGCACACCCTCTAACCATAGGTGTCCCTCCAGACTCTGTCCTGGGTCTTCTCTCCCTCAATTCTACTTCCCTGGGGGAATCTCATTAGCTCCCACGAATTTAATTACTATCTCTGAGCTGATGATTCTCAGATCTACCTGTCCTGCCCCAACCTCTCTGCTGACCTCGAATCTCACATCCACAACTGTCCTCCAGACATCTCCAACTGGACGTCCAGTAGATATCTGAAACTCAACACGTCCAAGCCAGAGCTCCTGCTCTTTTCCCCTAAACCCTCCCTTCTCCTTCCCTGTTACTATAGAAGACAACATCAACCTCCCAGTCTCTCAAATGAGGAGCCATTCTGGATTCCTCACTCAATCTCACCTCCCGTATCCAATCTGACGCCAAGGCCTTGTGCTTTCCTCCCTGCAGCCAGCCTTCTCTCCTCTGACCCTGGGGTAGACCTTCATCTCCTCGCCCCTGGACTAGGGCAATAGGTGTTAAGGGGGTCTGCCTGCCTCCAGTCTCTCCCCTATTCCAGTCCATCTCCACTCAGCTACTGAAGTGTTTTCCTAAAGCACAGGTCTGACCCCCCCCCCTCAATGAACTCCTGTGGCTCCCTATGGCCTCCAGGATCAACTACAAAATGCCCTGTTTGGCATTCAAAGCCCTTCATGACCTAGACCCCTACCCCCCTTTCCAGGATTCGTGTACTCCCTGACTTGTTTTCTTCAGTACAGTGTCCCCAGCCTCCTGGCTAGGACACAAACACCCTCAGCCCCCAGCATTTTCTCTGGCCATCCCCCATGCCTGGAGTGCTCTCCTCCTCTGTTCTGACCACTGAGCTCCTTGGCTTCCTTTGAGTCCCCATTAACATCCTGCCTTCTGCAAGAAGCCTCTCCCTGCCCCTCTTCATTCTAGTGCCTTTCCCTCTGTTCACCATTTCCCATTTATCCTGTCTAGAGCTTGTCTGTATGTAACTGTTCGCTTGTTGGCTCTCCCATTAGACTGTAAGCTGCTTGAGGGCAGGGACCGTCCTTTGCCTCTTTTCTATTCCCAACATTTTGTTGTTGTTCAGTCCTGTCTGATTCTTCAGGACCCCATTTGGGATTAGGGTGATTTGCCATTTCCTTCTTCAGCTCATTTTACAATCGAGGAAACTGAGGCAAACAGGTTTAGGGGACTTGCCCAGGTTCATATAGCTAATAAGTGTGTGAGGCAGAATTTGAACTCCAGTCTTCCTGACTCCAGGAGGAGATGGAGGATATAAAAGAGGAGGAGGAGGGGGAGAGAGCCGGCGGCGCCAACTTCCTGAGAAGGGCGTGCCCAGGACTCGGCCGTGCCTTCCAGGAGAGGATCTTTGCCAGGTACCGGGAGCCGCCAGGCGGGTCTCGTTAGGAGCTAGAAAGAACAACTCCAGAAGTTAAGGGCTGGCCTGCGGGGCGCGAAACTGGAGTACAGGTGGGAGGGATGGAGAGGTAACTCCGCCAGGAGGCGCGAGATGTGAGGCTGGTCAGTGGCGAGGCAGACGCGGGGAGGGGAGGGAGGACCACGCGGGAGGCGGGTCCGAGGGAGCTGGGGATGTCAGGGGCGGGCCGGAGAGGAAGGGGCGGAAAGAGCAGGAGAAGGCAAAGCGCGGGGGGCGGGCGGCCTGCGGGGACACGTCGGGCCGGCCCGGGCAGCCCCGAGCAGGAGCCGCGGCTGCCCTGGGCTCCCGGCCAAGAGCGTGTCAAGGCTGTGCTCACCCCACCCCCAGGCTCCCCAGCCCCGAAAAGAGCGGCCCCCGACGCGGGGACAGAATTAGAGACAGACGGAGGGACGGACGCAGACAGACGGAAACAGAAAGCGAGCCAGCGAGCGACAGCCAGAGGGGAGGGAGAAGATCGGGTCGGAGCCCTCCCTTAC